GAGACCTGTTTTGAACTTGATACGCATACTTCTCTGTACACTCATCAATTTTTTTTTTAACAAGCCATGTTGTCATTTCACCAATTATACCAGAGAAATTAAATTTATAAAAATTGATGAGCTAAATAATATACATAAATTCATATTAATAGCTGCAACAGAGGATTTACTACAGAAGCTGTAATGATTCGTGGGTTTATTTTCCCCATTTTCTCCACAATTTGGTCACCTGCCAGTTCCCACCCACCATCCAGCTGTCCCTCATCATGACGACAGCTACCAGGATAACGGTGCTTTGTTCGAAACACATGAAGCCACAGAGCAGTGTAACACTGTCAGAGGAAGGTGCTATCTACCCTCTTCTGAATACATGAGCTCACAGATGCCTTTGATTGGCTAGTTGCAATCTAATTGGCCAGGAAGAGAGAGTATGCCATCCCTGACAGTATGCCACCCAGACAGCATGGTACGTTTTGCTCCCTTGGCTCCTGGCTACAGATGGCTGTGTTATTGTTGCGATTTCGAACTCGCAATCTCCCGCCAATAGAAAATGCAGCACAGTGCTTTTATGTTGTGCCACTTGGGAACCTGTGATGGTTTGTGTGTTAAAGAACAGGAGTTGCTGAATTACAGCCATTTTTTTCATGCATGTATTGGCTCTGCTACAGAATTTTTTCAAGCACCCGGTTCAATCCACTGAAATATGTTGGGTCTACATCCAGATGGTGATCTGCCAGTTGATGACCGCTGGCCAATACAATGATATTGTGCTATCAGGTGGTGGAGTGAATGGTGGTGGTGGATGTTTACGTGGGTAGGTGGCTCTTGATGAACCTGGCTGCCTCAGGGAGAGCAGTTCCCCAGTCTAGTTTGGCAGTAATAGCCCACATGCTCCAGTACCTTCTGCCCAGATGGCATGAGGTTAAAGAGTACTGGGGGTGGGTGGGAGGAGTCATGAGCAACACCAGTAGCTGTATGGTTGCAGGTTTCACTTACTCACCTGCAATTCCCAGTGTGATGTATGAGATGTCAGACGTGGCAGCGAGTGCAGGTTGTGTTCAACTCCTCCACTCTGCTTTTCCCTGTCCTTCTCGGTGTCTCAGTGACAAAGAGGCTCATCAGTATTGATGGCATTCGTGATGGCGGTGTGATTGGTGTGGCCTGTGTGCTGGGACAGATCCAACCACAGCTGAGAGGAACACAGGAGCACAAGACCCCAACTATCCCTGCAATCTGCCACCCGCTGACACCAACACCATCATTACAGAGACAGACAGAGAGGGAGGAGGGAATTCCAGGTGTAGATAGTTTAGAAAGGTTAGACCTGCATCTATATTTAACACTCAGCTGATGGATCAGCTTCTCCTGTGCATATTAATGACATTCTCCAAGATCTGAAAGGCTAAAGACTGACCCAACAGGAGAAGATGCACTTATCATTTTGTCACTTGGCTTAACCCTGGTGTCACGTAAGTCCCTGAAAATAAATGAATTTATAATACAAATTCATGATATTGTAATAGAACTAGGGTTAGGGTTAGGTAAATGCATGTTATTTATTTCTATTTCTGCACTCCTTCCAATATGTTGCCATTTCTATAGTAACAACTACACGCCGGGACTAAACGTTAACATTAAGACTAATAATAAACAAAAGACATGATGTTGTTTACATTAGATAATATAATTGTTATTATTGTGAAGTTTTCTGTAAGGAGATGTTTATTTAATATATATGGAAGGAGTCTCCAGTGTCAGTAAGTTTTCCGCCATGGGTAAGTCTTCAGAACAGAGACAAAAGAAGGGCTGGTGAGGGAGCGACTGTTTTAGCCGCTATAACAAAATGATAACAAGAATGAACTTGTTTTGTGTACGGTCCACAACATTAAATGTAACTATAAATTGATAAAAATGATCACTAGTAAAAAATGTAATCGTTGGTAAATTGCTGTCGTAGAAGAGGAATAAAACAGATCAGGACGTGCTGTCATAGTAAAATAACTTTTATGTCGCATCACACCATCTCATCATTGATTATTTTCCTGTAACAGCGTGCCCCCAAGTCTTTTATTCTTTACATGATTATCACACACTGGTACTTGTGATACCGTTAGAAACGTTTTTGCTATATGTAAGGTCACTCTTCTGTTCTGTCTAGCAATGTAGCAAAGAAAATCTCTCACTCTCAATCTCTCTCTCTCTATCTCTATCTCCCCCCCACTCTCCCGCATGGCTGTTTAGCCTCAGATGAAGCATTAATGGTAGTCAGACTGGTTGGGGTTGATCCAGAGCCGGGAACTCTTCCCTCCTGAGCCCAGGCAGGATAGACAGACAGCCAGGTCACAAAATCACCACACGCCTTTCCCCTGCACTCCAGCTGCATCTAATGAGAAAGAGACAGAAAGAGAGAGAGAGGGCCACAGAGGCTTTGCGTCTAAGCCACAGGAAGCCACTAAGCTGTTACAATACCTGCTGGACCAGTTGACGCATGTGTAATTGAACGCATAAAGTGATTCTTAAATATTTAGTATTTCTTGCATACTTTTTACTCACTGGCTGTTGTAAAAAAAAAAAAAAAATCGATTTGTATACGTGTCCTTTGCTAATGTAAAAAAAAGGTCTAAATGTATTAATGTTCTGTAATAATTAGGACAAACCGCAGAGAGTCCAGATGGTTTTCTCTTTATATAGAAACATACTTTACTATTTTTTTTTTTTTACCTTTTTTTGTGACATTGGCAATATGTACAGGTACAATAATAACAGTGTTTGTGCTGATAAGACAAAGCATATTAAGTCAGACATATTAATTCTAAACATAGGTACTGAATATGCATGGAGTTTGGATGCTGTAACCTCAGAGCAGATTTAATCTGCATTTGTGTGTGTGTGTGTGTGTGTGTGTTTAGCTCTTATCAGGATCTTGAGTACATTAAATGGTCAGTGTGTTGGGGTCGAAATTCTACTTAATCTGAATTTGTTGTTCAGATTTTTACATTTTCACACTCTTACATGTGTGTTTATATATATGTATATATATGTATATATATATATATATATATATATATATATATATGTATGTATGTATATATATATATATATATATATATATATATATATATATATATATACACTCACACACACACACACATGTATTACCTGTTCTTGGCTGACAGGAGTGGAACCTGATGTGGTTTTCTGCTGTTGTAGCTGATCCTCCTCAAGGTTTATGGATTCTGAAATGCTTTTCTGCTCACCGCGGTTGTAAAGAGTGGTTATGTGAATTACTGTAGCCATCCTATAAACTTCCTCTGATCTCTTTCATCAGCAAAGCCCATAGAACTGACACTCACTGGATGTTTCTTTTCCTTTTTTGCACCAAACTCTAGGGACTTTTGTGAGTGAAAATCCCCAGATATTTCTGAAATACTCGAAACAGCTAAACCAACAGACGTGCCACTGTCACAGTCACTGAGAGCACTTTTTATTCCTCATTCTGGTGTTTGATGTGAACATTAACTGAAGCTCTTGACCTGTATCTGAGTGACTTTATTTATTGTGCTGCTGCCACGTGATTGGCTGATTTGATAATTGCCTGAGTTGTACAGGTGTTGATAATAATATACAGTATTACAGTAATTTTGAGAAATAATGTTTAGTTGAATCAAACTGTTGTCACTAATTACACAAAGGCTAAAACTAGAAACTCTGACAAAAATATGACAAAACTACTTTTACTTAGTTGGCAAAGTTAATACTGTACGAAATTCAGTGAAAGTGCAGTCGTGTTTATTTGAGTGACGTGACCGAGTTTTGACCTGGTAACGAGGGAAGGAGAAAATCGTTGCGTCTCTGAAAACTTAGACATTACGCTGACTGAAACACGAGGGCATCAGATTTTCACCACGAGTCTTTCACTTCAGCTATTCACCAGCTGTAACAGCCAACCAAGACATGTAAGAGAGAGAGTGTGTGTGTGTGTGTGTCTGAGGGACATTTCAAATGTTAATACATTCCCTCTGTAGGCAGCTCGCAGCTCGCTCTGCCATTCCCACCACCACCTTATTTATTTCTTTATTTCCTATTTTTAGCTTTCAGATAGACTCGTCAAACCGGCCTGTCAAATACACCCTGTGTGTGTGTGCATGTGTGTGTGTATAATGTCAGAAGAGCTCTCATTACTGAAAACACACACACATATACTAGCCGACAGGCAGTCACACACATGCATACATACACACATACCGCACATACACGTGAAGTCAGACAAGCAGCAGATGCACACAAGCACAGGCTGGCAGGCTGGTTGGAGACAAAGACACACACACACTCACACACACACATGTGTATGACTCATACTTAGCATTTGTAGACTACAGAATTCATTATAAGTAAGGAATAAAACACAACAGGAACTGCTGTTATAGGAAAATAATATGTACAAGGTTATTGTATAGTTGGTGTAAGATTCTTGGACAGTATTTACAAACACAATAACATGCAGTCTATAAGATACCGGGGGTGTAAACTTCAGGCTTCCACACGATACCATACGATATGATACGATTCATAAGGCAGCGATTCCATATTTGACACTGAATCTAATATATCATCACAATATGATATTATTTTGATTCAGTATTTGACAGTACTAAATCTAATACTAAACTAATTTGATTCTTATGACAACGGTTCAATATTTGAGAATAATCTGCTATGATACAATACGATATGATTTCAGCTCTTATGGCAACTATTTAATATTTGACAGTACCACTATATCGTCTACAATATGATATGATTCATAAGGCAACAATTCCATATTTGATGATACCACTGAATCTAATATGATATAATCACAATAGGATACAATACAATACAATATTTGACAGTACCACTAAATCTAATATGATACGAGTTTGATTCTTATGGCAACGATTCGATATTTGACGATACCATTGAATCTGCTATTATACGATTCTCTTTTGAGTCGTATGGGCAGTGGTAGCTCAGTGGTTAAGACGTCGGCCTACTGATCGGCAGGTCGCGAGTTCAATCCCCAGCACCACTAAGCTGCCACTGCTGGGCCCCTGAGCAAGGCCCTTAACCCTCAACTGCTCAGTTGTATAAAATGAGATAAATGTAAGTCCTTCTGGACAAGGGTGTCTGCCAAATGCCATAAATGTAAGGCAGTGATTTGATATTTGACGATACTACTGAATCTGCTGTAATAAGATACGATTTCAACTCTAATGGCAACTATTTAATATTTGACAGTACACTATATCATCCATGATACTATGCGATACAACATGATGTCTCTGAAAAGTGAGAGTTTTGATCCTGACAAGGCTTCAGATATCTCCGTGGCAGAGAGTGTGAGAGAGTCATTGATTCCCAACTCTGGGTGGGAAAGATGTCAGTCAGTGACACTAGCCAATCCCAGATGTCCGTTATCTTTGACATTGCATAAACAGCCGTTTATCAACAAGTGAGAATTTGCTGCAGTTTAATTGTGAGAAAATCATACTATCAAAGCTCGAAGTATCAGCTGATACACAATACTGATGCAGTACTACCATCCTCTCGGTAAGCGAGTAACCATCTTACTCACTGCAGTCGGGAAAATAAGCCAGCTTAGCCACTTACACACTCGCAGCCATCGACATGCTGCAGTATGTTATCCCTCTCCTCTCTCAGGCAGTATAGTCTTACTCTGTAATTACCTTGCTCTGCAGCCTTTTTGTCTAGTTCTGTAAGTACGCATCCTCAGAAGCGCTATTACCTCCCATCTCTACGCAGCCCATCCCCTCCGCTTTAGCCCCGAATCAATTCCAACCGGCGTCTGTAATTTTGATGAAAGTGCTTTTCTCGCTTCCAGCTCCGCCAGCGTAAAACATCTCAGCCCTTCTGAAATATGGAGGGAATTCAATAAAAAAAAAAGAGCCTCTCTCATAAGAGAAAATGTGTAAAATTCCTAAATTATTCAAGCCGTGTGCATTGGCAATGAGGCAGCCATGCTAATAAAATGCCAATCCCTGACATTAAGCAAACCAGCCAAAATCTCATTTTACAAAATTGAACAATTGGTCGGGATTGACACACACGTGATGCGCATTACCAATATGAATGGATGGAAAATTAGCGGTAATATTTTCTCCCGCTCTGTGGTGAGATTGCATAGTTAATGTTGGGAAAGAAAAAACCACGTCTGATATTTGCAGCATACGTTTCTGCAGTGTTCTCAGGGCAAACACGGCCCCCGAACGTGCCGCGGTGACCACCACCCCCCTTTCCTCAAGCGGTTTGTCATTTACTCAACACTCGAGCCCCGCTGTGGCTGAGTAACTGTGTGAGCCAAAATGGCCCCCGTGGAGCCGGACACTCCTCCTCTTCACTCTGAGTTTCAGACAGCGTGGGGAGGCTGGGACCTGCTGCCAACACTGACGACTGGGACAGATAAGTGACAGGGGACCTCTCTCTCTCTCTCTCTCTCTCTCTCTCTCTCTGTGTGTGTGTGTGTGTGTGTCAGAAGAACTGACAGTGCCATGTTAACCCAAGAGAGCTACAGCTCAGGACTACTAACACAAGCCATGACAGTAGCATTATTAAAAAAGGAAGAAATTAAAAAAAATATTGAACAATTTCACAATTAAAAAATATTAGTACTATAGATAAGTATTGATTAGGGGTTGAAATGATACACACATTTTCAGGTTTGATCTGATTTTCATCACTGAAAACCTCGATTTTTAAAATATTTCTGTGAAAGGGACATCTTAACTTTAGCGAACGTTAGGATCAGAGACAGATGGAGAATTTACAGACAGAATAATTTTTTTAATTATATGTAATGTAATAAAATATAATGTCAAATGATATTTAACTTTCTCAGTTTTTTTTTTATAATTTGGTGAATGTGTGCTGAGCTAGCCATCGAAAAGAATCAGCCGCAAAAACCAAAACCGCTGAATTTACCATAACACGTCATTTTTTTGAGCACTCCTTCACACAGAAGCTGATTTTCATCCTAGATGAGTATCAACAACACAGTTATTAATTTCAATGCACTGTTTTTTTCTACATTTACACAACCGCTGTCATTATTTTGATGCTCTATGCAAACTGCTGGCTCGTTACACTGCAGCTTTTTCCACACAGCTTTGACATTTAAAATGTCAGGCAGGCCGTTTAAAGTGGGGCAAAAATCTAAAAAAAAACACAAAATTAAATTATTAAGAAAGCCAGGGCTAAATTGAGGCAGTTCTTCGTGACAATTGATAACCAAAGCCTAGAAGGAGCCACTGATCGCTGACGGAAAGGTCAGAATTGAGCAAAATAAACTCCGCAGCACAGCCGCGGCTGTGAATTATAAAGTGGAGGAAGGCTACTTTGTGGTAATAATGAGTAATTTTTCTCTGTCTCAGGTCTTCAGGCTGCCTGAGTGACTTTAATAACAGCTTATGTGTTGTTTACTGATGCAAGTGCTCCGGTGAGTGTGATATTCAGGTGTATGGTTTGTGTTGCTGGATGATATGTGAGAGACTCTTGGGGTTGTGTAGAATAGTCACTATGGGGATGGCGGCTGGTCGGGGCGGAGGAAAAAACAGTGTACTTTATTAATCTGAAAATATTTCAGATTGTTCTGTACATTCTGTAAGATTACGCTAGGAAAAGTGTTTTGCTTTAATGGACTGTTTGATATCACTTTGTATGAAATATACACTTGACATGATTAACGATAGTATCAGGAATCCCTGAAAAATTGAATCTATCGCTACGGCTATCGAGGTGGATGATTTAGTTGGAATGTCTGTCGGAAAACGTGTTGTCTGCAGCTTTAAGATCAACAAAAATAAACTGTGTTGTATCTCACAATGCATATTTCCTTTTTCACCTGTCCAAACCTTAATAACCTGATGTCTGCCTTCGAAGCAGAGCAACAAAACATCTTTCTCTGAATCTTAGCTTCGTTTGTCCGTGCTGCCAAACAAAAAAATCTCTTAAATAAATTTCTCTTGCAAAATATCAACGAGGATTTCAATTAAGAAAAATGAAACAATGTGTTTATCACGGCAACTTCGCTATACAGGAATTCAATAACAGAGCACATACCTGCGTAGTTTATATCATTTTATTTCAATTTTAAAATGAGTTTATTACAGCTAATAATTCGTTTTATTAGCTGTAAAACCAATTAATTATTTATTAGCTAACTTGTTAGCTAACTGACCTTGTTAACGCTTAATTCATCCAAAAAAAAAAAAAAACGGACTAAATGATAACGCTAGCAACTAGCATCTACAGCCGACTTGTCACCAGCTTCTGGTATATTTTGCTGTAATGACGTAACATGTAGATATAACAAATGTTACATATTTCTGGCCACACCCCCTTATTTTCAAATCCATGAGCGATACTATCATCAATCGCCAATAGCTGTACGATAGGACGATGGTTTATTACGCACAAGCAGTGAGGTTTTTTAATCTCACTCCTGCTTGTCCTTAAAGTTATTATTATTAAACTTCCTCCCGCCGTTATTTTTGTTGTCCTTAAATAAAATCCTTGCACTGTGACATAGTGAGCAGCTCTGTCCAAAAAAAAAAAAAAAATAGTAATAATAATAATAAGAGAGTTCAAGTCTGGTGCCCACTCCAGAGATCACTGTGGAGGAGAAACCTCCATCCTCCATCCAAAGAAGGCAGGTCATTGACCTATTGCGAGGGTTCTGTTGATGGACACGAGCTTCCATGCTGCGCACTCTCACTTTCAGAGCCAATGATTTAATTTGAGCTGCCACTTGAGTGCATTTTAAGGATTGGTACATGCAATATGATACACGGATTTATTATTTTGCTCATTTATTGCACTGATTTATTTATTTACATAGTAGCCTAAAAAAGAATTGAAGCTGGAAATAGAATTTTTATATTCTGTATATGGCTGTTCATCGATTACATTAAAAACAGCCTAAAATAGTGATATCCTGAATTAATTTTAGCTTTGACTATGGAAAAGATGACTAGTCAACTACTAGTAGAAGCTCAGTTTAACCACTTTTACAGTATGGTAGGTTTAGGGATCATCTATATTTTTCTCATCAGGGGTGGATAATAAATGTTAATAAATGTATGAACTAGCCCAGAAGTGAACGCTCCAGTGTGACACCCTGTCCTGTGACGCCCTGTCCTGTGTTTTGGAAGCCCGGAAACGTAACTAGGCTAAAAAGTGTTATCTGCCAATACTGATACTAAAATGAGTAACCTGCTTAGTAGGGAAATAGCTGAATACAAATACAGTATTTGGATTGAACAGATAATGTGCTTTAAACAAATACAGATACGGATAATAAGCTGAGTGTTATGATTTGCTTTATATTGTCTCACGTTTTAAACCCTTCTTTTGTGTAAGTTGGGAGTAAACAGGTTCTTTGTGTGGAAATTCACATATCCTATACACTACAGATGCAGTGGTTCCTTTAAGTGTATGTGTGTGTGTGTGTGTGTGTGTGTGTGTGTAGACGCCTGTCAAGAGCTTTTAGTCCATCTGAGCAGAGACATGTCGGGTGAAGAGCAGAGAGACTCAGACTGACACCTTGCTGTCCACCCGGGAGACACTGAGCCTCAGAGAGAGAGAAAGAGAGGGAGAGAGAGATGGAGGGAGAGAGAGAGAGAGGGAGGGCAGGGGAGGACAGTAGTCAAGTCTCTGTCTGCCAGCCTGTGTGTCCAGAGACGGACAGACCACTGCTTACACACTCTTCCTGAGATCTCCCTCAGACTTCTAGAGGAAAAAGACTGTGTGTGTGTGTGTGTGTGTGTGTATGCTGCTCCTCCGGTGAGTGGCAGCTTGCAGGTTGCCGCTGATTGCGCACATATTGTGTGTGTTATGGAATGCTAATGCTCAGCTGGCCTTTCACACAGAACGGAGGAAAGACAGGAAAAAAATAGCAATTCCCATCCCATCTGCTTTCTCTGTCTCTCTCTCTCTCTCTGTCTTTCTCTCCCTCTTTCTAGCTTTCACTGTCATTTGCTGTCTCTTTCTTTCTCACTCTCTCTCTCTCTGTCTTAT